GTAGAAAAAATATAACTAAAAGGATAAATGAACATATTTTGTCCAATTAGAATGTATTAAAAATCTAACTAAAAGTATATATTAGAAATTTTAAATTAAACTAAGGCTAGTATAGGAAATCTTATTATTCTCCATTATTCTCGCATTTATATATAGTATACTCGTTATTCATACTCGTTCAATTTTTGTCTCACTGCTCACTTTTACATTATTTATACTCATTTTTATTTTTAATTATAATTTTTGACTTATATTATTTAGATTTTTATAATGTTAAAAGAAAATTCTATATGAGATTAATATGAATATAATAGTTAATTAATAAAATAGAAGTGTGTGTATACATACACACTTCTACAATATCGGTATATGTACACTATATACCATCACTCTTTACAATATCTCGGTTCTATATGTTACACTTTACTATATATATATATTACTTATATTATTAATATATATTATTTAAAATATATTATTTATATATTATATTATTATATATATATAATTACTATATAAACTAATAATAACATAATAATAATATATAATAAAATTGAATTTGCCAACTTTCCGTTAAAATTTCATTTTCAGTGCAGTCAGGAGTTAGGACCAGTTGGGATTGTGCTGTAAATGTCATTGTTAATGGTATTATTACTTTCCTTACGATTTTGGGATATAAAGTTTAAATTCTTACAATTTTCATAGATGTACTAAAAAATTATAATTAGTATATGTTTAGTAGACTATTCTAATGGTCGAATGCATGATTTATAGAGTTCATTTGATATCGGGATTGAAAATAGATACTAAAACATAATAAAACATAATATATACATTTAATATATTATAATATATTATTATTATTATTATTATTATTATTTATCAGATAAATATTTATATTATTATTATAGATAAATATTTATAATTCAATAAATTTCCAATTAGAAATAGATTAAACTTCCAGAATTTAAATTCAAATAGAAAATTAACATAATCAATCAAAATTAAAATATTTTTGTTTTTTAACCAATAAAATTAAAGTGCTCAAAGATGAGACTTAAAATTGTAAAATGCTTAATTAATTATCTATATTTATTTATTTAAAAAATAATTTTAGTAAATTATATCCAATCAGCTAAAAAAATATAATTTTCTAATTATTCGTACCTAAGTTAGTTTAGGATATTCAAATTTCATCAAAACAATATTGAAAATTTCATTATTTGAAAAACTATTCAAATAGCTACTGGCTACACAAACAGGTCAAAGCTAATAAAACAAAACAGCTATTATTGAAGAAGCCCAAGGTCTTTTTTAACAAGTAATAAACCAAAAAATTTCTTTCTCTGCAGCTTTATATATTCTCATGCATGTTAAGGCAACATCTATGCGCTGTAAGCATGACCATGGTTCTAGAATCACTAGTTTCGATTTTAAAATCACCTGTTTCTATTACAAAAAAGGTGGAATCGGAACCGAACTGCTTTTAAACAATTTTGAAACTGTCAGTTTCGTTTTCTTCTTGGATTTGAACCGAAACTAAATAATATACTTTGTCAACTGTATCAATATAAGCTTAAGGCCTCCGAGACTCGTAGTAAGCCTAAACTATAAAATTCAACTGTATCAATATAAATTTCAAATTATTAGCCCATATTGCCATACATAATAAATCTCATAATTATATTATACTTTGGCCCAAACTAGCAACTTAAACATTTTATTGCTCGCGCCCAATTATAATAAGAATCATTCGTAATATGAGCTAACTGGTTCATGTATTCTCATAAATAAATAACTAGACATCCATCTATGTTTATCGGATACAATCCTATAACTACGGAGTTCACTAACAGATAAATATAAACAAGTCCTGATAAAACTACGGAGTTCACTAAAGCAGATTCAAAATATATAAACAAGTTCCGTACATGTAACTAGTATAATAAATAATTACTAAAAATTGTGGATTATCTTTCTTAGCTCGTGCATGTAAAGAAACAGAGTCTTCCACGCCCGAGGACAAATAGAGGAATCTACTTCATGGCAAAATTAAAGTAAAAGAAATGCTTAGTAAAAGTTAAATAAAAGAAATGTGAGTTTAATAATAAATATTAATTATTGCATAACACAAGCATTCACACGAAATGCTTCCTAAAATACTAAAATGAACACACAGCCGGTCAGGCATATGGCACAACATCAGTATCCACAAGTAATTACACCTTCAAATAATCAAGCAAGTGGAAATTAGTCAGTGGTGCCACCGAAAACCTTGACGAGTCGTCCTCTCACATAGCCTGCCCTCTCAAACGTGTGCACCAGGGAGCCGATCCCCCATACCTGGTCAACCGGTCTAATCCTCACTTGAGCAGTCCTCTCCCATATTTACATTTTATATACTCTCTTTTCTTTTTCATATCAACAGGCAGCCACCTCATGGTTTTTCCATGTCATATAATATCAGGTGCACACGGGGCCACTGATCTCCACATACACGGCCGACGGTATCGCAGACAGTTCTCACAAACCCGTGGTGGCCTATTTCATCCCTATTCCACACAAACAAAGCATAGCAAATTCACAGCACAAGTAGTCAAGCAATGCATTCAATGTAATGCAGAAAATCATTCTTTAATGTGCAACATAAAAGTATAATTATATACTAGTATTAGCATAATACAAATATGATACAAGTGTATATAATAATATATTAATAATAATTTAATAATATGATATCTAATCATAAATTTTAATAATATGAAAGGAATGATCTACAAATCTACTACTTCCACATATTCCAATTTATGTCAATTCCACCACTTCGAAAACATTTAATCCATTTTTAATCGCCACTATTCCACAGTTAAAATTTCATCGCCCAATGCGAACTTCTTCACACTCATATTTCAAACTAAACCATTAAGGATACAAGTGTATATAATAATATATTAATAATAATTTAATAATATGAAAGGAATATTAAATCTACTACTTCACATATTCCAATTTATGTCAATTCCCACACTTCGAAAACATTTAATCCATTTTTAATCGCACTATTCACAGTAAAATTCATCGCCCAAATCGAATTTTCTCAACTCATTTCAACTAAACCATTAAGGTCACATTTTTTGTTTCCACATGTATAATCTAAAGATTAAGTGCATTTGTAATTCCTAAATATCAAAATTATACAATGGCTAAATTGTCCATAGGCCTTTTGCTAAATCATTATCTAGGGTTTATATCTAGCCATAACTTTACATTCCTTAATTAATAAGGCTCAATAATCTTTTCAAACCACAGTAACAAATCAACTAAGCTCGATTAAGCTTGATAAGTTAACAATTTACAATTTGCTATATCTTGTCAGAGACTTAAACCTCGAATAAGAATTAGTTCAATGAAAACTTACTTACATTATCCACTAATTCAAACCTGAATTTATATTGCCAAATTAAATTTAAGATCGACTTACCAGTTACATTATTAAAATTTCAATAGTCAAGATCAAGTTCAAATCCTAAAGAGAAATAAACTATAAAGTTGCAATTAACTTCAAATAAGGGTTCTATTGCTTACCGAATGATGATTGGCATATACCATCGCAATCTACGTGAGGAGCTGAGGATTTTGTCTCTTAGGGCCTCGCCGGCCAGTCATCGAAGCGCCGCCGTCTACGATGGCCGAAAAATCCCAAATGACCCAGGATCAAGCAAATCGCACGCCAAAATGCTCGAAATCATTTGTAGAAGCCGAATATGGTGTTGTTTTGAGGAGGTAGAGGCTCGTTGGCCGGATCGACCGCCACAGCCATCTCCATGCCGCCGCTTATGGTGGTTTTCGTTCCCTCCACCAACTTCGTCGATTCTTAGATGGAAAATGTTCGCGTGGAGGAGCTGAGTCGATCGAGACTCACTTTGAAGCTTCACGTCACCAGAGTCGCCTGGTATCGCTGGAAATCGAAGAACGAGAACTGCCGATGGAGACAGTCTCGATTTGCGCCACTAAAGGCTCTGCTTGTGTGGAAGGAAGCCAGAAAAGGGACTAGCGGCTCTAAGGGAGTCGATCGCCACCTCGCTCTCATCGAGCAGTGGCCAGAAACGGGAAGGGAGGAACGGTGCGTGTTGGAGCCGAGGAAAGAAGAAGAAGAGAAAGGAAAAAAAAAAAAAGAAAAGGCTGGTTTCTTGACTATTTCGGTTCGATTCAAACTGGTTTGGTCTAATTCAGCAATTTGATTCGATTTTTGCTTGGTTTACGGATTTTTCACTTGGTTTTTGAAAAATCCAAACTGATTTACAGGTCTGGTTTAGCAATAATAAAATATTTACTGCTGAATTTCATTGGTTGGAATAAAAATTTAGTTTTTTAGATGAAAATTCTACGAAATTGAATTTTCGGGTCATTTCAATTTTAAACTTTTTAAAATAATTTTTAAAGATTTTTAGCTTGAATAAATAATGATAACTAGGGGTGAGCAAAATTACCGACCCAACTGACTCATTTCGACTCAGTTTAGTCAAGTGCCCAAGAGAGATTCGGTTGGTTGGTTCGTTTTTATTGCTCGGTTCAATTCGATTACACAAATTCGGTGGTTGGGCTTATAACCGATTCGAAATGGCATAAACTGATAAAAATAGACCAAACCGACTGATTCGGTTCGGTTGATTCGGTTCATATACAAACTTCAGTTGGTTCGGTTTGTTATAAAGAATAACAAACATTAATATTGAAAAAAATTTAAATCAATTTAATAATAATTCTTAAATATTACTTAAAAAAACTATATCAAATAAAATAAGAGTTTTTTTAAAAAATATATTTTTCACGGTTTCAAGTTGAAACCGCCAGTTTTAAACTAAAATCACCAGTTTTAATTTCAAAAATGAAAAACCAAAACCGATAAAATGAAAACCATTGAGTATGATTTAGTGCCAATTTTAACTCCTTTGATTTCTATCGATTTCAGTTTAAAACTGAATCGTGATGATCCCTGCCCGGGCACTCGCCAAATCTCAAAATAAAAAAAAAAAAAAACAAAAAACAAAGAAAAGAAAAAATGTATATTCTGGAAATCAATCTGTAGAAATAGAACTGTCTGTCTGCCATAGAAAAGCGTCCTGCCAATTTTCAACCGCGTAAGCCTAAACTTCTCCAGTTCTTGGTAATTAGCCACCAAATCCTCCGAAAGCAGAAGAGGAAAATGGCATGCTATGCATCGGTTGGCAACTGGATGACAGTACGCTCTCCTCTTCCAGTGATTAAATTATTCAGGAGTAGTAACAGTATTAGATTGAAGAAGGACTATGAATATAGTTTCTCAAAGCAAATTTTCTGTTTCCAAAGCCAAAATTTGAGGGAGAAGAAACAAGACGTTTACTATGACAGCCTGAGAGTTCTGGAATGGGATAAAGTTTGTGATTTGGTCTCCTCTTTTGCCGGTACTTCCTTAGGTCGTGAAGCCACTAAGGTTAGTGTTCTTGTTCTTCATTTGTTGCTTGTAATGGCCTTCAATGGTTTTTAATTCAATAAAACTGAACAATTGTATGAGAAATTGATAAATTGAATAATCCATTTTCATATTAGCATTACGTAGTGTTTGGAATAATTACATATATAATTCATTTCATTTGCAAATGAGTTTCTTTTATGTTTTGATGGACCATATAATTCATTTTAAATAGCTAGCTTTACTAGCTTGTAACCTTTTTAAGTTAGAGTTCGATTGTAAATTATGTCAATACTGGGAGTATTTGGTTCGAGCATAACCAATTCCACAGAACTAGAATGAATCTACATGAACATTTCATTTACGCCTAAGTAAATTAAGGATTTGTAAATGAATAATTTTATTCAATTCATTTGATACCAAACAAGCTCTTAGTTTGATGGATGGCATTGGCAGGCGCAATTATGGTCTTTGAATAAGAGCTACGAGGACAGTTTGAGACTTTTGCAAGAAACCAATGCGGCTTTGGAAATGCACAAGCATGGTGCTTGCCGCTTGGACTTTATTGGCATGGATCTTCAACTGGTCAGTGGCTTCCTATTTTATCCATTTGTTATGTTTAAAACGTATTCTTTTTTTCTCTCTTACATATATATATATATATATATATATATATGGACCACCTTGCATTCTCTGAAGTGGGTTCTTTTGTTTGTAACTTGAAAGGTGAAATATGCTATAAGTAATGCACAGAGGGGTCTGCCAGTCGGTGCAAATGAAGCTTTGGCTGTTACAACTATGCTAGAATTTTCCAGTTTTTTGAAGCTTAATCTTGAAGCTGCAATCAGGGAAGATGCTGATTGGTACAATCGCTTTATGCCTCTTTCCCAAATGGTAGTAAGGATTAGAGATTCTTTTTTCCATTTGTTTCCCTGAATTGATATGCTTTATTCACCTCTTGTTTCTTGTGTTTTTTTCCCTGAATATATATCACTTGCAGATATTAGAGATGGCTATAAATCGACCATTAGTTAGGATGATACGGCAAGTTGTTGATGAAGATGGCTCTGTCAAAGACTCTGCTGTTTGTTCCTTCTTCTACTCGAGTCTTTACTCACACTGACAAGCCTGCTGCACGTAGTTTTCCTTTTTAATTAAGAATGCTTTCATGTTTTGATAATCTCATTTTGAATTTTGTTTCATGGCTTAGAGTTCTGCACTGAAAAGATCACGTGATCAAGTTCGGATACTTGAAAAAAAGGTAAAAATCTATCTTTGCATTCATTTTTTCATCCCCTAAATTGTGTAGGCAATTTTATCCAAAAACTTCAAGTTTCACACCAATGTATAATAGAAAAGAGTCACCAATCAGAATCTTAAATTGACAATTATCTTTGCAGCCATTATTATGTTTTATTTTTTATTTTCTATTTTTTCAGTTGTCTCAGTTAATGGACAGCATAATTAGGAATGATATGAAGGAAGCATCCTTTCTGGTAAGATGAGCTCATAACTTTCTTTTTTTTTCTTTTTTCAGCACCTTTATTTTTTTTTTGTCCTAGATATTGTCATGGTATTTGTTCAGGAAGTGAGTAATGTCGACGGCAGATGGTGTATAAAATCAGGGACTAATCAGCTGACGAGTTTCAGGGGTCTTTTGTTGTCCAGGTGCGTTTTCACAGCATTCTTCAGTGTTTTGACATGAATATTTTGGTTGTTCATAAGTATTATGTGTGATGTGTGAGTGATGTTTGTTTATTGATCTGTGTGGATCCAAATGGAAATGGCAAATGCTCTCCCCCTCTCTTTTTTTTTTTTTTTTTTTATGAAATATTTGGTGTTCATAAGTATTATGTGTGATGTTGTTGGAGTGATGTTTGTTTATTTGATTCTGATGGCTGCTATGATTGAATAAATGGCAAATGCCTCTCCCCCTCCTTTTTTGTTTTTTTACTTTTTTATGTGTTCTTATAAACCAAATCACAATCACAACAAAAGAAAAGATAAGCAAATATTCACCTGTACTGCTTACAGCCGGCTGTCACGACTGATCGTTCGAGGCCCATTAACCCATCTACTACTGCAATGCCACTTTTTTTTTTTTTTTTTTTTTTTTTTTTTTTTAAAAAAAAAAAAAAGAAAAGAAAAATTACTGCCCGCTGTCACTGATCTTAGTCATTAACCAATGCATGCCACCAACCATGATGCTACTGTGATAGAAATGGCAATATCATCAAAGCTCAATACAGTGGGGCCAACATCCTGTTTACTAATGTTAACTCAACAGCAAAATAGCTAAATGCTTAATGGTATTTAAATTGTCAATTATACAGAGGAAGAGAATTGAAAAGTTCAAATCATTTTTTTTAACGCATACATCATAAAATCTGATAATTTCTGGCAATTTAAAGGTAAAAGACAAATCTAGACTGAGACTATTAATGACAACACAATTTAAAATTTGAATGATATATATATTGGTACTTCTTGTCAATAAACTATGATGTGTAATAGAAATGGAATCAATATTTTGTTTCTATTGACTGCAAGTTTTAGCCATTGAGAGTTTAAAATCTGTTTGACGAGTCTGAAGTTTTGCTAAATTAAGTACAGGAAAGCTGCCTACCTTTGCCCACATTATTCTTTTGCACCAATCAGAGCTTAGGCCATACAGGCTTAAAATTCTATTATTGAAAGATGATATTGGTGCTGTAGTGATTCAGGAAGGGGAAGCATTTTAGAACCACTCTCAGCAGTTCCTTTAAATGATGAATTGCAAAGAGCAAGAGCATCAGTGGCAAAAGCAGAAACGGATGTCCTACTGATGTTAACAGAAAAGGTTGCTGGCTATGTTTGGTGAAATTTATGTAGATTTTCTGTATTTTCCTGTCGTTATATGTTTTCATTTTGTTGTACTCTATGCAGATGCAAAAGGATCTTGATGACATTGAAAAAATATTGAACATTGTAATTCAACTCGATGTGGTAGGTGTCTACCAGTCTGCTATACATGTCTCCCTCTCTCAAAAACCAACAGGCACATGCTAAGTTTATCTATTCATTAAGGTTTTCAGAGTAAATGTTCTCTAATACTTAGAATTATCCTGTCTTCTTAATTGGCATATTCTAATTGATATATATATTTGGATGTGCTAATTTCTTTTATCGTAATTTTGTTTAGCTTCTACTGGGAGAAGCCTTCAATGTCACCTAAATTTAATGCTTATAATTGGTTAGGATATTGTGTACATATCATTTACGATAGTCATGTTTATGATTGATTTGAGTACTCGCTGAGGGTTACAGGCAATGGTGGTGGCATGGTGTTTAAAATATTAATCGGTATTTAAAATATTATCCATTATATATTATCTAAGTCATTTTGTTGCATCGGTTTGACAAATCATGCAGATAATTCATGATAGCTGGCAGTGTGTATCTGCACTGATAAGAGAGAGAGAGAGAGGGGGGGGGGGGGGGAGGAAGAAGCGGGCGGGGGGGGGGAGCCTCATAATTGGGACCCCCCCTCTTGAAAGTAAGGATTAGCATCCTTATATAATTTTTATTTTTATATTTAGCCCTGGAACAATTTTGCTTTTCTAGATCCGGCCCACCTAATAACAGGGTCATGGGGGGGGGGGGGGGGAGCTCAATTGACCCCCCTCTTGAAAGTAAGATTAGATCCTTTATAATTTTTATTTTATATTTAGCCCTGGAAAATTTTCTTTTCTAGATCCGCCACTAATAACAGGGTCATTTTCATTTGAGTCAATTTGCTACTATGCGTACACCCAGAAAATATAGCTCCTGATGCAAGTCTTGGCAAAAGGTGCTTTAAAGCAGATAGTGTAATTGCATTTTCGGATAAAAATTTGTAGTTGTAATGCCTTTGCTCCCATTAAATTAACTTCATATTTTGGTGATTTATTTCTTATACTGACTTTCATATATAGATCAATGCCCGAGCAACTTATAGTCTTTCATTTGGAGGTGCATGTCCTGATTTGTATTTCCCAGAGGACGTTGATGGATCTTTCCCTGTTGCAGCTTCAGAGAAGCAAGCTTCAAAGGCCTCATGCCCCTTGAGGAGAGAATGGATATTGTATATGCCTAAAGCTCATCACCCTTTATTACTTCAGCAGCACAGACAAAATCTGAAGAAGGCGCGGAAGGCTGTCAGTGATGCTTCCGCTGTAAGAATTACACCAGGCTAACAAGCTTGAGTTGTGAGTTTGTTTTCATTCGGTTAATCACAAAAAAGTCTTCACCAAAAATTCAGTTATGCTGTAGTCTTTATTTTGACCTATACTCCGGTTATAGGGTGCAATTGCAGCCAGTTTATAAAACTCATCTAATCATATGTAAAATATGCTTTTAATATGGTCATTATGGAAGGACATATCAACAGAAAGATAGGCCTATTGATGGTAGGCCACCAAATTTGTCAAGCTTTTTGTAAGTAAATTTTACTTGTAACATAATCAAATGGGTTTAGATGCCATTTCCAAAGTACAGACCATAATTGCAAATTGAGCAAAAGTTCAAGACTTTTTGAGTAATCAAACTATTTTCTTTCCTTGTTGAGGTTCCAGGAGTCAAAAAATTTTTCTAATGTCTGTTGGCATTCATTTTATCTTTTGTCTATTTCCTGTTATTTTCGGCATTAGGAAATCAAGAGAAAATTCCAAGGAAACAATGGTGCATGGAAAGGAGAAACAGATATCGAGCTTTCATCCCTAGAAATGAAGGTATGTTATTGATTGGTTATAAGATTATCTGTTGTTTGTTGCTTTTGTGCTTCTTAAAGTTGTTACAACATTTTTTAGGCGAATTATTACAGTTTGTTTGATTCCAAGGCAATCTTATTCATGGCTGCCAGGTGTCTGCACTGGAACAAGCTCATCCGGTTCCAGTTGATATTTTTATTGCTCAGACGACAAGGGTCCTAATTATAACTGGCCCCAATACTGGGGGAAAAACCATTTGCTTAAAGACAGTTGGATTGGCTGCTATGATGGCAAAATCAGGTTGATTAAATTTCATTGATTCTTTCAGTTATATTTTCGCGCCAATCTGTGGAACCATTGTATATGGAAATCTGATGCAATTTTATCTCTGGTGGTTAATGATAAAAACGAATGACTGTATATGGGAAGAAGTTACTATTTGCATTAGTATAAGCAGTGGAAGAAAAGTTGAAGTCAGTCAAAATTCTTGATTTGTTAGTTTTTATTCATTGACTTTTTTTTTTTTAAAAGATAATAAAGAAAAGAGAATTATAGATCTTTCTGTTATCTTATGGCCTTCTACAATTCTGTTCAATTTTGTAGGTCTTCATGTTTTGTCTTCGGAATCTGTACAACTTGCATGGTTTGATTATATTTTAGCTGATATTGGTGATGAACAGTCCTTGTCCCAGTCTTTGTCTACATTCTCTGGCCATTTAAAACAAATAAGTGTAAGTGTAGCTTTATTTTTTGGCTTCTTTGGGCTTTCATTTTAAGGTTTGCTATCACAAAGTGCTTAGCTTGCTTGGACTCCTTTTTTTATTTTTTTTAATTTTTATTTATTTATTTATTTTTTGTGCAAACGGTGAATGTTTATTCCAGTGTTTACTTTGATTGTGGACTTCTTTGATGCATTATAAGTTAACACGGTTACCCTTAGATTTTCCAAATTGATCAGTAGTGTTGATGAAAATTATTAACATTTGAGATTGTCAAAAGTCATGCTTTATTTTGATGTTATAGCACTGATGATAGTTTATCAAGTTCACAAGATTTCAAATTGTCTAGAAGATGTCTTCTATACGCATTTTGTGCATCTGCAGGCTTTCTTATTTTTCATTTTTATGCTTTCTATTGGGAGGAGAATTATGAAATTTACTTGATTCATCATGCAGGACATTCGATCTCAGTCGACAAATCGGTCACTGGTGCTACTGGATGAAGTTTGTTCCAAAACTTTTAATTTCTTTTTTTTTTTTTTAAATTTTTTGTGGGTGATACTAATCTTATTTGATATTGTTACTGTTATCACAGTTCAAATACATTTTTATGATATGACTATGATGATAACAGCATAATCCAACTACTCATAGGGTTGGGAGTCAAATAATAATGCAAACAGCACATTAATGGTACCTCTTGCATATTTTAGGTTGGTGCTGGGACAAATCCACTTGAAGGAGCTGCATTGGGGATGTCACTGCTTGAATCATTTGCTGATAGTGGTGCTTTGTTGACAATCGCTACAACACATCATGGGGAACTTAAATCCCTCAAATACAGGCATGTGGTAAAGTAGTAAAGATGTAATAGTTATGCTGGGAATGTTATGCCTCAATCTGCTGATATGTCTAGTTCAGAGAGAAATATAGTCCCAACCAATTAAAGCTACAAGTGAATAAAGTTAGTTTGAGCCATAATTATGCATCAATATGTGATTCAGGCGTTGACACATAACAGAGACTTGATTGCCAGCTCTCTGTTCATCGTTTCACATTTAAAATTTTTGCTTCTTTGACAGTAATGGTGCCTTTGAAAATGCTTGTATGGAGTTTGATGAAGTGAATTTAAAGCCAACTTACAAGATTCTCTGGGGAGTACCAGGTTTGCCCTCTTTCTTGCATGATCATTTACATTTTTTTTGGGTCTACGACTGGATTTATGAAATTATGTTTGAGTTTATAGAAGCTGTTCCTCAAGCACGTGATTTGTTTTCATTCTTCATTGTGCTAATCTGGGTTTCACTGTTAAGGAAACAAAGAAAAGTTGGTGAGTATTAGGAACAGAACTCTCATCCGATCTCTCAAACAGTTGTGAAATTGCCAGAGTCTCATCTACCCATCTCCTGAGCAATTAAATAGAGAAAGTTAATGATTGAAACTGAAAACATTTGGCACTAACTCTCACATTCCATTTAACTGATATGGCGGACCTAATCTGAGCAAAGTTGCATTCCAAAGTTAGGGGCGACTATGGCTGCATTGTCTTCTGCATAATATAGCTGATATATTGGCACTATTTGTCATTCAAATATCACCAAGCGTATCTGAATCATGCAACCCCTGCTAATATTTCTTGAAATGTGTGAAATGCTTGAGAATTGGACTTTGAATTACTGATTGTATTACTGATTCTTTCAAATAGTTTAATGCCTGAAGTTATGATTATCTTGGGCATAAATCTGGAGTCCTAACTTTCTTCTATTGTTATAAACGGGAGTCTATCATGTGGTCATTTGGAAATAGAGGCAGGAAAACTTTGATAGTTTCAATATGGAGGTGAAATTTAGAGAAGGAAGCCACCATGATGCATTGGATAGCCATAAGGTGGTACTTGAACACTAATGGAAGTATTCAGTGAGTTATTGTAGAGAGGAAAAGCTAGCATTCTTTGTTTGCTTATCAGAGAGAGTCTAGAGAGGAAAAGACATTTCTTTTGTTTGCAGTAAACATGACTTGCAAAAGGTTATAAGTGGTGATGATGTAGTATAATATTGTGAGCTTGCAAGTAGTAATTTGGATAAGTAGCCTGTTATTGATATAAATTGCTCATCCCTCTTCCTTATTTCTTTCTTAAGATAAATATTGATTAGTCGTCTTTTCATTTATTGGCATTTCAGTGTGCATTTTGATATGAAGGGTGTGTATTGGAGAGAGTGGGAGGGAGGGATTTGAGGGGGTGGTGCACCAATTTGATTTGAACTATTCAGAAACATGACCAGTTTCGTACTCTTGACACGTGCTTGCCTCTAATTTTAAGCAGTTCAGAGTGGTTTTTGCATCTGAATTAGGGTGGACAAATTTCGGTAATTACCGATTTACCGAGCTGAACCGAGGTTATTCAGTAAAAATGGTTCGGTAAATTGGTAAATCGGTAAATGGCAAATGGTCAGTAAATTTTTTAGACAAAATTCGGTGACAGTAAATGGCTCGGAAAAGTACTCAAAAAATTCAGAATTCTCCAATTACCAATTTATTCAAAATGTCATCATTTTAATTTTTTTTTATGTGGTAAGTCATTTGGTAAATGGTAAAAATCCATTGGTAAACAGTAAATACTCATTTGGTAAATTGATAAATGCAAATTCGGTAAACGGTTAACCGGACCGACCAAATATCCACGCTTAATCTAAAGTAATACTACGTTGGTTTATGTTAGAAACTGATTTTTCTCATAAAATGTCATACCAGTGTTGCCTCATCCACCTAAAAATGTAGTATAAAATATTTGATTGATTTTCTGGTTTTTCCAGTTTTTCCTACATTAGCATTAGTTCATATCTAAATTAATGCAACTCTTTCTATAGGTCGTTCAAATGCCATCAATATATCTGAAAAATTGGGACTACCAGGGATAGTTATCAGCAATGCTCGAGAGCTATATGGTACTGCTAGTGCAGAGATTAATGAGGTGACAAGCTTCATATATGTATTATATATATTATATGTGTGTATATATATATATATATATATCACTAAGTTTGAAATTGATTTCCAGTTTATGGTGTACCCTACTTGCTTCGTATTATTTTGTTGGGGTGTTGTCATTTTCAACATACAATCACTTTATTAGATAATTATTTCATTGCTCCCTTCACTTGTTGACTATAATCCTCATTATCTTACAGGTTATAATTGATATGGAAAGGTTCAAGCAAGATTTTCAAGAGCTTTTACACGAGGCACAACATCATTTGATGTGAGAATCTATGGCTTAATATCTGTTGAGAATTGTTCTTGTAATGTCAATTAGGGTGTACCTTTATCTAAAAATTTGGAATAAACAATCATGACAATAATTATATTCATAATAGCCAATATATGAAACTTTTCTCGTGTTTCTCTTTCACCTTTTTATGTCTAATTTTTAGTTCATAAAAAATACATAAATATTAATTAATGTGAGATTTTTTGGCCCCCCAGACCTTCCATCCTGGGTCCATCCCTGCACAAAATCCATGTATCTGATCCAATTTAAATTGCGCTGGAGAGCCATGATTTATATATAAGTTTTCTGCCATGTTCTATTTATTTTTCTCGGTAAAGATCAATAAAAACAATCAACTTTTCAATTCAATTTTTTCTTTAACCCTAGGTTGAGCTTTTTTTTTTTTTTTTTCCTCTTCACAGCAACTCGAATATTTTGGCAGAAATATATTTTACAACATGGAATCTTGCTTTGAACAGTGTTACGCATCTGTAAGAGTAGCAGATATAAATCTCTAAGCATGTGGATGCTCATCGAGTCTGTTTCTGTTGTTTAATAGGCTCTCAAGAAACCTTCATGAAAAGTTACTGCAGTCCAGAAAGAAGATCATGGAGCATGGTTCTAGTCAAAGATTCAGGAAGATGCAAGAAATATCTGAGGCTGCTGCAATGGCTCGCTCTATCCTTCACAGGAAAGCACGGCAGCTTCGTGCACGCTTAACAAAACCTTCTCAGCCCCCTACAGCCAGTAAAAGACAACATTTGGCAATTGACCAACATACTACAGAAGATAAGAATGAACATACTGCAGCAAGTGGACATTCATCTGCAGTTGAAATCAGAAAACACTCGCTATCAGGTAATATTAAACTTTGATTACATTTACTTCTGTCAGTTACAATGTTCAGTTAGGATCTAAATACTTGTTTGGAAAAATTGTCATGTGAAAGCTCTTGCTGCTAGTATCATGCTACCTTTATTTTTATCAAGGCGAAAAGGTTTATGAATTTTAATATACTCTTCCCTATTCACTGCAGTGAGGAGGACTAAGCTTCCTCAGGTTGGTGATACAGTGCAAGTTTTATCGCTAGGCAGGAAAGCAACAGTTTTAAAGGTGGATAAATCTAAAGAAGAAATAGTAGTTCAAGCTGGCAGCATGAAGTTGAAATTGAAATTAATGGATATTAACACTTGAATGGTAAGAAATAAGCTTGCATGCATAAACACTTGGATCCATGCATTTCTGTCTAGTTCATTAATTACCATTAGGCTGCTTGGATTGAGGGATAAATTTTGGGTGCAGGATATATGTCCAGGATTTGGAGTTGGCTGTTTTCTGAAAATGTCAAAGATATTTCACTAGAGTCATTTCCAAGAAACATTAGCTTTGAAGGGTCAAGGTAACTATAATAAAAAATTTGAATTCTGCATTTCTCTGTGTTTTTGTTTGTCTGGATGCTATATTTGTCTGGATGCTATACGTGGAATACAAAGTCATCTTTAGATAGTTATTTTGGTGTATGACATGCTAAGAATTAGAAGAAGGGGTAAATATTTTGTAGAAATTAAAGGAAAGAATATGTTTTATTTCTTTCAATTGTATTATATTTTTCAACTTCTACTCCACTATATATATACAAAAAATTGTTCCAATATAGGAAGTAATCTAAATAGGAATAAACCTAAACTACGAAACACAATCTTTACACTAATTAAGAATAAACCTAAACTAGGAAACACAATCTTTGTAAGTCATTCTCTACCAAGAAACACATTCAACGCTCTGGTCGAATGCGGTCAAGGTAAAACCAAATAATATCCCAGGAAAAAATGCTTTACATTCTGCTTTCTCCTGTGTTTTTGGTTGTGCTGGAATTGAACTATATGTCTGCCGTTTGTCTGGATGCTATAGAGCGATTGGAAATAACGAAAGCTGCGCGAGGATCTTTAGATAGTTTATTATTCGGTGTCACCTGACCACTGCCTAGAAAGTCAAAACGTGGTAACAACGATTCACAACACCTGAGTGACAGATAATTCGTTTTGTAGAAATTAAAGATAAAGGACATATGTTCTTACTTCGTTGGTCACTTATATGTTATTCAACACATCATTTACTGCCATCTAATATAATACATATAGTCAAAACAATTAGCGCGCCCGCAATCAGTCGAGGCGCGAGTACCGTCAGACTGTTTTTCCAAAATACGCGTAACTAAGGAGAGCGCTCTATCAGCTACGAAACAAAACAGAGTCTCTGGCTTTCTACCGATTTTTTTTACACGGTAACTCAGCAGATACCTACAAACTAACGAAACCAGCAACTTTAAACAGTGCTATATTGTTATGTTGCAAGAGTAATAAACCCATAAACGTAGGAAAGACATCAAGATCCATTTTTTTTACGTGATAATGCATCAAAGAGGCGGCACTACAGATTTTGCGTCAATCTCGGCGTTTCTTTACCTCCTCCAATGTCGCACATCTAATAGTATTGTGCAATTGCACAAATAGACATATTTTTATTGGTGTCATGTTTTCTGGTTGCCTTCAACTAAGCTAAAACTAAAGGGAGGTTGAAGGACAACTTTACTATGCAAACCCTTTTTGTGAAAACATCAGCTAGTTAGCTCTTTTGTAAGCTATATAGGGAGAGCGAGGATATTATAATAACCTTTCCATATATTCTATACTTACATTCTTATTATATAAAGGGATCGACTACTTCATCACTGATTGTGAGCAGAGTAGTTTCGATCATGGCTAGACCTGAATGACTTCATAATACTTGATGGGCTACTATTACTATCACAAAATAATGAATATATTTGTTGTTTTCACCAAACTTTTAGAATCTCTTTCATTAAGTCTGCGGCGAGACCCATAGAAGTTCAAGATTTACTGTGCCATAGCTTCTATATTAGCTTCTGCACTGGAATCATTGCAACATTTACGTGTTTTGCTCATCTCATGTGCCAGGTTCCTCCAAAAAACACAAATACCTGAGAGACATTGCTCTTTGCTGTCATCAAGGGAATTCGGCCCATCCGCATCTGCTGTTTTGTTAAATGGTGCCATGTTTAGTATAAAAAGTCACTCTACTTGGGCTGTTTAAATATCTAGAATCGCACGATGCCTTCTCATAACAAAGTGTCCCACGGGGGATCATCGCCATCCGTAACACATAAAACGCACGACTTCATCTAATGTCAGAGACATATGGAGGCAATAAATCATGGTTTTATCAGGTATGGGCAAGGTAAATAAATCTCAGGGAGAGGAATTGCCTACTTCTGTAGATGACCCTGCCAACAATCTTTGTCCATTATCTCCAGCTTGAAGCTTATGATTGGCTTCATGGTATTCATGCAGGTTTATCATCCCAACATAAACTTCTTTAAGGAGTATCGGTTTTAGTCCCTTTTTCACTGCTGCAATTCTTCTAATTCTACAATGTGGATTTGCTCAACTTTCCCAAATCCTTAACGAGATAGATACCCAAACCAAGGACATAGAACAAAAGAACGCATTAATTAATTATAACTGAAAGTCCGTTTTTATTGCGAGGTAATTATTTTAGAAAAAGTATAGATTCATCAGACCAAAATATGAAAAATATTAAGTAATCATGAAGGAACCATAAAAGTTTTACAAATGATATAATTTTCAACGACCCGCACTTGTTCACAGATCACCGGGCATTACACGGCCAGGTAAGTGAATACCTAAGGGCCTGGGAGCCATGTTGAACATAAAGTCCCAAACTAACAAAATTCAACGGTAAATATTGAATTTTCAAATATCGCCCATTATTACCATACATAATAAATTTCAAATTAATTAACTTCGCCTGAAATTCTACAACTAAAACGTTTTATAACCGGCCCCAATCAATCGAACATCAAGAATATGGGCATCACTCAAACACTGGTGCACCGTTCAAGTGTATTCTCTATAAAATACAAAAAATCTCTCATTAAAGTGACAGTCTTCAATCGATCATATCTTACTATTATCAATATCTCTATAACAACAGTAATTCCACACACTAAGGTTCATTCTAACGTGATAACTATCATTAACATACAAAAATAAAAAAATTAATATATTTACTCAAGGTAATCTTAGCATTATAACCGTCATTAGCTGTAGCTAGTCTTACATGCAGCAGATATGAGGGTACACATAAGCAGGGCTCATAGTGCTGCAGAGAACACATATAATAAAAAAATCTAACTCTGGCCCCACGTAAAATATTAAAAAAGATATAGATGCTATTTATAGACTGAATATATTAAAAACTAAACATTTTTCGGCCACACAACATGAGAGCTCTATGCGAGTCGAACTATTGGCTTTTACAATACTAGAATCAAAATACAAATCCAGTTACCTAAGCATATCCTCAGCTTGACACATGAACACATCTATCGCGGTACACATGGAATATATTTAGAGTCACACTATCAAAACTAACACAGAAAGAGAGAATCTATGGCGCATAATGACCCACCAAATCACTCTATCCTCTAATTCACGAGATTCAGCGTCCTGCATACGACACAAGCAAGCATTGTGATTAATAACACTATCTACGGAAAAATATAGATATATCCAATGAAGAAGCTCACCTATCTACAATTGGTAACTTGGACTGGCGCGTCCATCTTCATCGTAATTCAGACGGCACCAACAAAATTCTGATTGTGTTCATCACTACTGGCTAACAGAGGCAAATGGACTTTCCACATCAAGATACACTTAACCACTTGACATAATTTTGAGAAGGTGCTTGAACTTGACTTATTTTATGGACTCCGGTCTGCGAGCATACCAATGTTCTATTGCCATACCCTTGTTCACCTTCTGACTCGTCATTATGAATCATCTGCCCGGTATTTTGTTCTATTACTAAACTGATGATTAACGCCACATAAATTCAACCTCTCAACTGGCTTCTATCCTGGATGGTGAAGGATGTGTACTAGGAGATCACTTCATGTCTCCGAGTAATTATTTGCTCAAGTTTTATTCACTCCATATCTCCTCATAAACAATGGCAAACGCAACTTTCCATTTTCCTATGTAAGTTCCTCGAGTATAGATAAGTATGGAAAGTCCTCTTGTTTCTTGCCACACCGACAAAGCCCTTTCATTGGTCGTGATCCTTTTCTCATACGGCAGAACAGAAGATATACAAGAGGAAACGATAAAACATATAGGCTTCCCTATATAGAGTAAAGAGGGAACAAGAGTCACCATATAATCAGGCGTTAATTTAATTGAGAAAATATTAATGATGAGCGATTAGATTAGCGATGAGAACTTATTTTATTACTACGATGTTTAGATTAGCTCGTGGGTTCTTTGAAACTCTAATTTTGTACATAAGACTCAAGACAATAGAGATGTGGAATAAGATCTAGATATGCCGGATTCCACTGAGCTACAGGAAGAAAGGCACTAGGGTGGATATTCATTAGATTGTAGAGAAAAATGCTCAGTCTGTCACGCACAGTGAAATTCTGATGGATTCGGAATATTACAGAAATTTTGGAGCGCCGTGAGAGAGTCATATAAAACGGTAAATACAAACATGGTAAATGCTAATGAATACAAGAAACGACGGCAGCGCGGAAGAGTTTCATATATATTATCTTAAATTATTATGCTAAATAATGTCAATTCGTGGCGCATGACTATATAAGAGAATATAGGTACTGATGGATTTAACTATGCCTTAGAATTCAAGGTTGTTTTGGCTTATGAGTTCATCATATGCGTGCATTGAGGTTGTGGCTTTACTTTGATATTCCTAATTGCTGCCGTGTGTAGGTTTTAAATCAGGTTCTATCCAATGCTTACCTTCTAGAGATTTGGGGGTGGATTTGGCCCTCTCTCTTAACTAATAATATGTCTAGCTGATAGTGTTAAATTTTATAAGTATTTTTATTAGTAATGTTTACTAGATTTCTAGTGATTTTTTCTAATTCAATATTAATATGGGTTTATTCATATAGGAGTAGTATAGTTTTTTTAATTATAAAGCTTTCCTTGGAAACACAAACTCACTTGAAGTACTTAGAGACAAATTTGTAGAGTTTTTAGCAAGAAAAGTGGACAAAAAAATGAGGCAAAAAATTAACAAATAATTTATTGCATTCAGCCCAAGCCCGTGCTAAATCAGCAGCCGGTGCTAGGAGTAGGAAAAACAAGCAAAGAGTTCAGAGCGCGGCGAGGCGGTTCCCCAGAGGCCCATGCCCTGTAGTGTTACCGCACGCCACCGTGCCAGGAAATTCCCCTAGACCTCCCAGAGTGCGCGCTACAAGATGCCCCAAGCCCTGCTAAGGCGGCACGCTCGTCGCCCGCATCTGAAAGATACAATCTGGGCCGTGCCCGTGGAAGGCACGCCCAGTTGCTACAATATTGGCGGCAGACTTTGGCAGAGCCTAAGCACGCCCAAGCGTGCTAGAATATGGCGCACGGCCTGTGCCAAACAGAACCTCCTTAGTTCGTGCTAAG